TAGCCAACCGTTGCCTCGTTACTGAGCTGGTGTGTTGTTTCTTAGCCGACGTTGTTGCGCGGCTGGATGACCGGATAGAATTTGGATGGTGTTGAAATGTTGGTGGTCTGCGTCGATGCCCGTGATGATGTCTTTTGCGGGACTTAGTTGAGAAACCTTGTCTGGAAAGCTTAAAGATCGAATATTCGTCCAATAGCCGGTGGTCTTTGAGCCGTTCTAACCCAAACTTGTTTATCAACGTCGATCATAACTGTGGAGTAGAGCAACCTTTGGTGTGAACTCGTATAATAATTTCTCCATTGACAGACATATCTATTATTACCCGTCAATACATAATCGGCTTTGTTAAGGGTAGCTCAACTGTGGTGTTCACTGCCCTTTGTGGCTTTCTCAAACATGGCATTTATGATGTGGAAGCGGTTAATGATTCGGCAAACGTTATAAAGAAGGAGCTGCATTCTTTTCGCTGATCCATTCAGAATCAAAAGAGCTCCTTGCTTCTTTTCCTACTATGGCAATGAACTTTCCTTGAATGATTGTGCACATGGACATCTTTTGCAATGTGCCTTCCTCTTCCTCGTAGAATTGCTCTGCAACCTCATCATCTGTGTTTGGGTGTGAACTTCTATCATCTTTAGTGATCTTCTCTTGTCCCCACACAAAGAATTGACACGGCGACGCAAGAAGACATGAAGTCGCAAACTCTCAGAGTTCCAGTGGCACAGCAGTCTTTCTTACGATCAATCCAACCCTAAGAGTCCAAACCCGGTTTTCGCATGCTTTGCCATAAATATCTGATCATGGGTGTTCCATCTTGGGAGATGTTCAGCGGATCTTCAGGTTTCTCACACGCTGAGAACATCTACCATGATCTTCTTCATCTCAAGGACGTAAATGTCTATGGATGCGTCTGATGACAGGGTTCTGGTGTAGTGGCTAGTCACGAAGATCTTGACGATCTCCTTTTGTCGTTTGTCAGTCGCATTCTGCCCGTCACGCGGTCATAATCCAAAATGTTGGCAACCCAACGCTGTAGCCTGCACTTACAGCCACTTACAGCTGTTTTTCCCCAAGTGACGTATCTTTTAGCGAACCGTCGGAAGTTCATTCAAGGCGCCAACCTACGTGAACCACAGTCTTCTTACTCCACATCCTTTAACCGTTCCATCCAGATCCAGAAGGAACGCGCTTAGTGAGCTCTGGGTCGCGGAACAATTAACTGACACGTGATTTGCCTCACCGGAGAGGGCCCTCTGTGGCATATCCAGCCAGTTCATGCAGAGGGTTACCAGCTGAAGCCCCTCTGGAACAAACGACCTCTCCTTCGTCCTCCAACCCGATGGGACAACCCAGTGATAGGGGTGTTAGTGCAACGGTGGAAACAAAGGGCCGAAAACCATGAAAAGAGGTGGAACCTCGGCTCATGTCTCTGGCTCTGCAGGTGACGAAGACCGTTCGGATAGAAGGTCTGAAGGACCTCTTCAGCAGAACAGAGATTTATAAGTAATGAGGACGAGTCATAGTCATATTTTAATGATCAGCTTTCGAATGGCTTCATAAGACAAGTGCTGAATCATTTAGGCAATTTAGTTTGAAAAAAAACGCAGACGTCTCAACTTTATTTTTGACATCTGTGTGTCATGTGAGGTGAAAAAACAAATAAGATACTCATATGCCTAGAAATCTTAACTATAAATGGAAGAATGGGGAAATATGCATGAAAAGGCCAACTTTTTGGGCTGCTTCGTTTGTGCCACTCATGTCACGGTCGTCTCGTTTGATTTTGAAAACTGATTCGATCGGCGTTCTGACGAAACAGCAGCTGAATTTCGCTACCGAGGTTCTGCTTGCGACATCTGAGGGCTAGGGTATGGGCAAATCGATAAACATAGGAATCGACTAAACAGCAATCGCGGGAGCTTCTACCAAGGTAAACACCGTCATATGGAGCCCAGACATGCACAGACAGAGGGAACAGTCGACGACAACCGGTGCCACTCGATAAAAGCACCTGGCAGTGTTGCGCCAATGGCAAAGTTCATTTGATTCAGACCTGCGGGCGACATGTGTTTACTTTCGACGCCTTATTCTTTTTAACCTTCTCGTCGCATTGGCCATCGGTGCTGCTTCCATGGCATGAGGTCGGTCGAGTGGAAAATCTTTGGTTGAGGGCTTCTGTACCTCACCGCCTTGGCGTCGCCACAGCTTGTGACCGGATGACCAGCTGAACAACCGCTGCTGCCCACTTTCGTCTCGGCAGTTAAGCAGGTGCGCGGTAAGTTCGCCTTTGATTGTCACGTTGTGCCGACAATCTTCTTGCACTTCAAGAATGCGGTGGTCGCAAAGTCGAGAACAGTAATTATTCAAGCATTTTATTGTCCGTCTTTTTGGAACGTTCAAAAAGTTCAGATATATATTATTAGAGCTACTGAAAAAGTATGCTTACCTCTCTCTGCAGGTCGGAATAAGTTATCGAAGCCTTTTTTGGTAGGTTTCTGTGAAAATTCGTAGACTGCTGTACGGGTTTTAGAAATTTAATTGTCCTAGTAGGCCATTATTTCTGACTTTTGCACTCCGGGCTATCGTAGTATTACTATGGATGGACCATATAAATACATATGATCATGCAAAACATAGCACAAAGGCAAACTTTGCCTCTATGTTCGTAATGCACCTTGTCTGTTATAAGAATTCAAAAAGTATCACGTTATGTGCAATGTTTGGTTATTTTAAAAGCAAAGGAGCAGATACCGTTAGATACGCTGTTCTGATGTTAGAGTTAAGTACAGCGCAAGTTACATCGTAGTTTTCGAATACAGTAGATCCAGCCTTGCTTAAAGGACCTCGAAAAATGACTATGAGGCAAGGAGTTGATGCAATATGCCACGAGATCTAATCTTGCAGGAGTTATGCCCTCACTGACATATTCCTTCATGCATGTTCTTGTATTTTGTAGTTAATGCAAATTATAATGCCCTTAGTATAGCTCTACTGGAATGAAATCTGCTGATTTGAAGGTTAGGTGCATAAAGTTACTAGCAGGGTTTGTGCATATTGGCATACTGTCTGTCATTAAGGTCTAAGTAGTCGAAAGCAAAGAAACAACGATATTGTTCGCCATGGGCTTGCCCTTACTAAAGAGTTAACTTCTTCGCGGCACTAATCTCTGACACGTGCCCAATAGAATAATTTTTCTTTACTATATCACGAAAATGGCCAGGCGATATTACAGGTGTCCCCAGTGTTCTGCATCAACGTCGTTCTCCGAACGAAATCTTTGTCTCATTTTTGTGCCTTCACACACACTGAACCGGAACCTACTGTATTTGAATAGTGCTTGATAATTGTACTTGAACCAGAAGATATCTTTTGATGGTACTCGTTGCCTTCTATTTCTTCATTACTATCTCAATCAGCAACATAATCTTCTATTTTCGTTCAAATTGGTGCTGAAGGAGATTCGATCGATTCGTTGCCTACTTCGGCAACGGTTAATGGTTCTTAGATTTCGATCAATGATTCAAGGCAACAATTTGAAAAGATGATGAAATATCCTTTACGCACCGATGCACTTCGACGCCAAACACCAGTATCATATGAAGGGTTATTTCACATAATAAGGGTTTCAGCAACAGACGTAGTCGATGTTTCTCAACCAAAGTATGACCATATCATGTCGTGGCCACAGTCTAACGATAAAGGTGTATCACCCTGATTAACTTAATTTATGGAAGAGGCTATCTGTTCGTTTCCTGCTTGAATAACAGTTGATGATCTTCGGTTCTCGATCCATGATTCAAGGCAACAATTGAAAAGGACGACGTAAATTTCTATGTGAATGTAACCCTGATCAGGATCATGCTGTGTGGTTTCAAAACGCATAGGGGACTAAAGTAATTTATATCATCTTGCTCAATAGTTGTCTTGAACCACTGATCACGGACCAAAGATCATTCAGCTTAATTTATCAAGCTTACTTTCATGAACCGCTTGTGCTATCATATTTTCATAGAAACATGTGCGGTTTAAACAGAAATAGATGA